CTAGCAGGAGGGTCACTACCGATTGAAGTCACTAATAACAGGATTGGGGACTTCAGCAGCAGAGTCCAGGGAAGGGGTAGGGACGGTTTTATGGCCTGCAGCATGCAGGGGGTCAGACCAGATGATCATAATGGTCCCTTCTGACCTTAAAGTCTATGAGTCTATGTATTTATACCTGCTCCTGTATGTTTCACTCCATGCATCTGATGAAGTGGGTTCTAGCCCAGGAAAGCTTATGCCCAAATAAATGTGTTAGTCTCTACAGTGCCACAAGGACTCTGCGGTTGTTTTTGCTAAGGGGGGAACAGATTCCCAGGGGCTGCCAGCGCCAGGCCCCCCATCCCCTGGTGCGGGGGGGGAGGTTTCCTGCCCCACTCCCCGGAGTCTCAATTACCTGCAGTCTCCACTCAGGCGTTGATGTCTCTAGAGCCCGGGGCTACTCCCGGCCAGGGAGAGAGTCCGGCTGGGCTGGCCACACTCCCCAGCGGGGCAGAGCCCGGGCTCGGCTCCCCACGCCCCGCAGCTGCGCAGGATCTGATCTCACCGATCTCCCCTCGCCGCTTCCTGTGCCCCGGAATAGCCGCCCGGGCTCGGCCCAGCGCGGGGCGCTTCCAGCCCGGGCAGGAGCCGCCCCCGGGCACAGGGCCGGGGATGGGGGATAACGAGGGTGACACGTTCCCGGCTCCGGTTCCTGCAGCGCCCCGGGCAGGTCCCCCGGGGCCGAGCGGGGAGCAGCGCCCGGGCGTCTCTGTCCTGCAGCGCCCGCGTCAGTCTCCGGCTGCTGCCCCGCGTTAGAGCCGCTCTGGCCGCGGCCAGGGGCTGCTCGGGGCCGGGGCCGGGGCCGGAACCGGGGCCCTCCCCTGGGGGGCGGCCGGGAAACTCCCACTCCTGGGCCCTGCTCGGAGCAACTACAGGCGCCAGGGTCCCTTATCGTCACACCGGCCTCGGGGAAACGCTGTCCCTCTGCACCCCGCTGCCTCCTGGGCCCCCACCCGCATCGCCCCGACTCCCTGGGTCCCCCATCGCCCCTGGCTCCCACTGCCTCCCTGGGTCCCCCCATCACCCCGACCCCTACTGCTTCCCTGGGTCCCCCACCCATCTCTCCATCGCCCCTGGCTCCCACTGCTGCCCTGGGCCCCATCACCCCCATCGTCCTTGGCTCCCACTGCTTCCCCTGGCTCCCCCCCATCACCCCATCGTCCTTGGCTCCCCCCATCACCCCGACCCCTACTGCTTCCCTGGGTCCCCCACCCATCTCTCCATCGCCCCTGGCTCCCACTGCTGCCCTGGGCCCCATCACCCCCATCGTCCTTGGCTCCCACTGCTTCCCCTGGCTCCCCCCCATCACCCCATCGTCCTTGGCTCCCCCCATCACCCCGACCCCTACTGCTTCCCTGGGTCCCCCACCCATCTCTCCATCGCCCCTGGCTCCCACTGCTGCCCTGGGCCCCATCACCCCCATCGTCCTTGGCTCCCACTGCTTCCCCTGGGCCCATCACCCCGACCCCTACTGCTTCCCTGGGTCCCCCACCCATCTCTCCATCGCCCCTGGCTCCCACTGCTGCCCTGGGCCCCATCACCCCCATCGTCCTTGGCTCCCACTGCTTCCCCTGGCTCCCCCCCATCACCCCATCGTCCTTGGCTCCCCCCATCACCCGACCCCTACTGCCTCATTGGGTCCCCACCCATCTCTCCATCGCCCCTGGACCTCGCTGCTTCCCTGGGCTCCTCACCTCCCCCCATCGCCCCTGGCTTCCACTGCTTCTCTGGGTCCCCCTCATTACCCCTGACCCCCACTGCCTCCCTATGCTCCCCACCCATCACCCCAGGCTCCCACTGCTTCCACAGGCTCCCTCTACCCCTCATCACCCCTGGCCTCCCTGGGTCCCCCATTGCCCCTGGATCTCCCACCCATCCCCCATTGCCTCTGGACCCCACTGCCTCCCTGGGTTCCCCCCCATCACCCCTGGACCATGCTGCTCCCCTGGGCTCCCCATCATCCCAGGGCCCCGCTGCCTCCTCCCTCACTGCCCTGAGCTCCTTTCTGCAGCCTCGCACCCTATGCCAACCCCCCTTCTTGCCTCTTGACCATGGTGCCCTGGCTGGTCACCCACATCACCCATATGTAAGGCCAGCCTTGATATTATCCTACTGATACAAGGGTTGCCCCTCTGGTGAGCGTGAGATGTCCTGGGCCTTGCCGGTCAGGTTCCTAGTGGAGGAGAAATCAGTGTACAGAGGCTGGGTGAATTCTAAGTGTGATTTGCTTTATTAACATAATACAGCAGTCCTGGAACAGAGGCAAACCGCACACGGGAAATCCCCTCCTCCCAAAATCTCAGCATGCACCAATGCCTGCTTCCCAGGAAGCTACTCTGTGCCAAGAATTGCCTCCAAATACAGAGAGACAGCAGCCGCTGTCTGCCACAGCTTCTCTCCTAGGACAACTGCATCACTGAATGCACAAGATTGTCTTCCAAAGGGACTGAACAAGAACTCATCAGCCTATGTAACAAGAAGGGCCACCTGGTGCCGCTCACCATAATAATCCTTCAGTGGGATGGAGCCAGAAGTTCTTGGATGAGAGGCCTGTTTCACCTGGGGCTGCCCTGCTCAGACCGTGAAGCGTATTGACAGCAAAGGGCATAATAATAAGCAAAGATTTCCCCCACCCAAAACACAACTGGCGTCCGGCAGCAGCGGCTGCACCAGGGGAGGCTGAGCCTCTCCAGGCCTATTATACCCACCGCCCGTGGGGCCGTGATTTCGGGTGGGTAGTCAGGGATGAGCAGGCAGCAATAGAAGAGCAGAGTCAGAGACTTCAAGCTAAACGGGCTACCCAGGATCTCACCAGCTTGGCAGGGGCGTGTGGTCATGGAGACCAGGGGATTGGGATTGCCTGCAGTGTCAGGCACACAATTTTGCTAGGAGACAGGAGTGTTATTGTTCTCAGAACGGTTGGGAGGGGGAGACTATAACCTAGAGGTGCCCAGGGAGGCATCCTGTCCATATTCAGTCTGGGATGGGACGTATCCAGTTGCCCTATGCTCCAGGGGGTGATCAAGGGGTGCCCTATGAGGGATTTTTTGATAGACACTGGAGTAGTTATCAGCTTGACTATCATAGAAATCATAGAATCATAGGACTGGAGGGGACCTCGAGAGGTCATTTAGTCCAGTCCCCTGCATTAATGGCAGGACTAAGTATTATCTAGACCATTCCTGACAGGTGTTTGTCTAACCTGCTCTTAAAAATCTCCAATGATGGAGATTCGACCACCTCCCTAGGGAACCCATTCCAGTGCTTCACCACCCTCCTAGTGAAATAGTGTTTCCTAATATCCAACCTAAACCTCCCCCATTGCAACTTGAGACCATTGCTCCTTGTTCTGCCATCTGCCACCACTGAGAACAGCCGAGCTCCATCCTCTTTGGAAACTCCCTTCAGGTAGTTGAAAGCAGCTATCAAATCCCCCCTCACTCTTCTCTTCTGCAGACTAAACAAGCCCAGTTTCCTCAGCCTCTCCTCATAAATCATGTGCCCCAGCCCCCATGATCATTTTCATTGCCCTCGAGTTTCCCGGTCTGGACGGCAGATGGATGACTCCATCCCCCTTAGGAGGGAGTCCCCGACCACCACCACCCATCTCCTCCTCTTGGAAGTGGTGGTCATGGAACCCACGTCCCTAGGACAATGCATCCCATGCCCTCTGGTCAATGGGGTCTCCTGATCCCTTCCCTCAGATGACTCTACCAAACCATTCTCCACCGTAGTACCTGTGCAGAGAGCCTGAAAACGGTTTCTTACCTCTCTCTGCATTGGGGGTATGTGTGTTCTCCTTCTTCTTCTGGAGGTCACATGCTGCCAATTTTCTTCCCCATTCTGCACTGCCCTCTCTGATTAAGTCTATGTAAATTACGTTCAGGGTTGTGAAAAAGCCACCCCCTGAGCGACGTAAATTACATCAACTTGAAGCAGTGTCTACACCGATCTATGTTGGCGGGAGACACTCTCACGCCGCTACAGTTTCCGCCTCTGATTGAGGTGGACTACTTATGCTGACGGGAGAGCGTTCTCCTGTTGGCATAGCACGTCTTCACCAGACACGCTGCAGCAATGCAGCTGCGCCGATGTAGTGTGGTAGCGTAGACTAGCCCTAAGTGCATTCAAAAAAGAACTAGATAAGTTCATGGAGGATCGGTCCATCAATGGCCATTAGCCAAGATGGTCAGGGATGCAACCCCATGCTTTGAGTGTCCCTAAACTGACTGGTGCTCAATCCTGGATTCTCAGAGGTGTGTGTGTGTGTGGAGAGAAGGAAAAGTCACACACCCACACACCCACCCACACACACACCTCCCCCCCCCCCGAGTTTTGGCACAATGCCCAGCTAACTGATTACACTTAAAAAGCAAAAAACAAAACAAACCCTGTTAAATCTGTTGCAAAATAAGAGTTGGTCTGGTTCGCACAGTCCTTGCACACACAACTAATCCCACTGATTTCAAAGAGTAAAGTCGGAAGGATCGGGCCCAGCAGCAATGCTTTCTCTACCCAGGGCATAAAAATATGATTGAAAAATTGTTTGAGAATTGAACAAACCAATTTAGTTTAATACACCAGGTGCATGTGATAGTCTGAAGCATTCTATAAAAATAATTATTAGGTTTGTTAAAAAAGGGTAACAAAGTGAACAAACGACTAGGTAAAAGTGGAGAATTGTGGTTAACAAAAAACCCTAAACAAACAAAACACGTTAAAATATATTAAACATACATGTTTTCTTCCAGTACATGAAACATGCAGCACAGCACATCGTAATGCTTTTTTACACTCAGTGGGGCTAACTTTTATTCTTATATTCAAATTCTGTTTGTGTTCTAATTCTCAAAGTTCACAATGCTACTGTATAAGTTAGCATAAGACACCATCATTTCACTTTCAGTGGTGCTTCTGTATTTTCTGCTGAGAAAGCTCTAACTCTGAAATCATCATCATAAATGAAGAGGATCTCATATTTACATATAGTATATCACATGCTCTATCTAGTTTAAGGAAGGTGGGGAGGGGCCCCCAAAATTTTTTAATCCGGACCTGCCTGGGCCACAACTGTTTTGGGAACCAAATGTTTTGCCTAGTTCCAAGTCACTTCCTGTGAAATTCTCTCCCCAGATCATCTGACACGTTATTGACCCAACCAACTGAACAACAGTGTGATCATATCCAATTACTTCAGCTAGTTGCACCATTTGTGGTGTACTGTTGTTCACCATTTCAGTATGGAGATTTAAAATATACGACTAGTTCCTTGGTAGCATGCCCAATAAATTGGAGCATTCTCTCCCGGTGACTGAAAGAATTTCCTCTCTGTCACCGTGGAGGGATGGGGGAAAAAAACCACAAGACTATTTTAGAAAATGGTCATCTGTTTCAAAGTCCCTAATAAATCTGATCTACATTCTGTCCAACAAAATATCCAGTTACGTGACCAAACTGCATTCAGGAAAGAGAAATCCATAATGCAGAGAAATATGATAATTACTGTGTAATACACTATGAATTCCAGAGGAGGTTCTATGTAGTGATTCAAAAGTCAGGAGGATAAATTCTCCCACTGTGTTCTCCTATGATCCATTCAAACCTGCTTCACTCAACACCACCTCATTATTTTCAACAGTTTTAGCATAATTGAAATGGGGGAAAACAGCAGTTTTTCCATCTGCTCAGCAGGAAAAAGCCCCAAAGTCACTTTTTCAATCAATGGAAACGGGGATTTAAGATCAGACCGACCACACTGGCTTTGGGATCCACTCAAATCTCCCCTCTAGGTCTGTGACACTTTCATTTCCAGTGCTTACAAGTATGTGATTCCGAAGCACAGAGCTGAGAACAGTGTGTCACATGACACTTTGAGAGGTGGAGGGACAGAATAAATTCTAAAGCCGTAGCAGTGAGGGAGTACTCTGACAATCACCCTGCTAGTGGGGGAACAAGAATACTCCTGAGGCAATTCTGTGCCACTGCGCAATGCAGAATTTTGCAGAAATTAATGGTTTTTACGCATAATTTCCTTTCCCCCCTAGAAATAGGCTGCGATGCTGCTGGCCGCCAGCAGGGGCCGCTGGACTCGGCTAAGCCCTGCTTGCACACACAAGACACTGCGGGGGTGGGGAGGACCAGGGGAGAGAGTAGAGAGTTCCTGGCAGCTGCAATTCCCCGCACGCCCCGAGGGAAAGAGCGGGCGGTGTGCGGGAAACTCCACACGAGCCTGGGACCCAGCAACAGGCGGTTTCTCCCTCTGGATCCGTGGCCAGTAGGGGGCTGGTGTCTGAGCTGGGAGGACCATGGCTGGACTCTGGGTGGTGGGGGGATGGGTGCCTGGGCTGGGGGGACCACGGCTGGGCTCTGGGTGGTGCGGGGATGGGTACCTGGGCTGGGGGGACCACGGCTGGGCTCTACACGGGAGGGGGCTGGTGTCCAGCCTAGGGGGCCACGGCTGTGCTCTGCATGGGAGGGGGGCTGGTGTCTGGCCTAGGGGGGCCACAGCTGGTCAGGGGGGAGGAAGGAGAGCTGGTGTCTGGCCAGGGGTGTGTGTCACAGCTGGGCTCAAGGGGGGGGGGGAGCTGGTGTCTGGCCTGAGGGGGCCACGGCTGGGCTCTGACCACTCGGCTGGGCTCTGGGTGGGGGTGGGGTGGGGCAGAGAAACAGGGACTAGGTTGTCATAGAGGTTTCTTTAACTCTCTGCTCCTGGGGGAAATTTTGTGTGTGTCTGTATTGTTACAGTCATATTTGCTGACAAGTATTTTGAAATAAATTACCAAAATAATTGAAACTGGCATGATTATGTAGTATTTGTTTTCAGAATTTTAAAATATTGTGTGCAGAATTTTTTATTTTTTTGGCGCAGAGTTCCCACAGGAGTAAATAGAAATGTGATGCTTGGGATTGTCTGCACTAGGAAGAGTGATGGAGGTTGGGTCAGCTTAAGGAGAAATGCGCTAGCTAACCCCAACCATTTTAGCAGGGCTATGTCTTTACTGCAAAAATAGTTTAGTATTTAAATCAAGCTAGCTACCTCCACGGAAAACCCTAGTAGAGACAAAGTCCAAGTAGATTTTTACCTCAATGTAGCTAGTTGAGGTCATCCCTATCTCCCTATCTGGGACTGACAGACATTCCTGTCAGGAGGGGCACACACTCCCATGCCTTAGAGGATATCAAGGAATTGATAGAACAGACAACAGGCTTCACCCCAAAGAAAGATGAGCAGCAAAAGCGGGCAATTCACCTGGGGGATCTGAAGGACCACAGTGAAGCAAATGGTGCAAACAGCTTTAAAGGTCACTATGTGGGAAATAGCAAATGTATTATAAAAAAAAAACTTACGGCCAGCCCTAGCCAAGCTATTTATGGGATTACTCTCCCTTGTGGATCCTCTGATGCGTAATAAGGTGTGAGTTCTGATTGAAACTTTTCCCACATGCTGAGCATTTAAAGGGTCTGTCTCCTGTGTGGATTGTTTCATGTCTAATAAGGTCAGAGCTCCGAGTGAAGCTTTTCCCGCACTCTGAGCATCTATAGGGTCTCTCCCCCACATGCGTTCTCTGATGCTGAGTAAGGTTTGAGCTGTCAGTGAAGCTTTTCCCACAGTCAGCACATGTGAAAGGTCTACTGCCCGTGTGGATTCTAAAATGTGTAATAAGGTTTGAGTTCCGATTGAAGCTTTTCCCGCACTCAGAACAGGTAAAGGGTCTGGTTCCTGTGTGGATTGTCTGATGTGCAATAAGGTTTGAGCTCACACTGAAACTTTTCCCGCACTCGGAGCATTTAAAGGGTCTCTGTCCTGTGTGGAGTCTCCGATGTCTACTAAGGTGCGAGTTCCGATTGAAGCTTTTCCCGCACTCGCAGCATCTATAGGGTGTCTTGCCCATGTGGATACTCTGATGTGTAATAAGAGCTGAGCAGCTACTGAAGGTTTTCCCACACTCCGTGCAGGTGTTTTTTCTCACTCCTGGGGGGATTCTCTGCTGGGCTGTGGTTTCCTGGAGGTCCTGGCCACTTCCCCGACCATCCCCTGGCTGATTTCCCTGCTGCTTCTCTGGCCAGAACGGACTCTCATGACCTTTTCTCTGCTCACGACTCCAGTGAATATTCTTTTCAGATCTTTCTGATAACATCCCGGGTGGTTCCACATGCAGAGTATCTCCCTGCTGCGGATTCTCCTCCTCGTTCTCACTCACTGCCCCATCACCTGCTGCAACAGAGAGAGAATCCAGTCATGAGTCGTTCCCTGCTCTGGAGAAAGGGGGAAAACAAACCAAAATAACTGCTGGAGAGATGGAAAAAATCAGGAGCTGACTCCTCCCAAAACTTTCCCCCGAGGAGAGCGAGGACAGGACCAATCTGCCTCCACTCCGGGGGAAGGGGCGTCAGGGAGGAAGCTGTGCCAGATGTCAGTGAGGATGGGTGGGAAGCTTTGACCTCCTTCATGAGGACGCATCACATGCTGCGGACAACCCTAAACCCAGAGTTCACAAGGTCTTTATAGGGAATCCCAAGCTCTTTTCATTACACGCACAAGTTTTGAGTTAGCACAGATGGGAATGAGTTAAACTATCAGCTCCCAGGATCTCTTGGCTCTGAGCTTGTTCCACATTAGATTTGGAAACTGGAAACCCCGCTCAGGGGAAGAAAATAAGTGAGAGCAGGTGAATTTGTGGGAGATTTGTCACAATGTCCTATTATTTAAAGCAGTAAAATCCCAGAGCCAGCTCCCCAGGTGCTCAAAGCTGCATGATACTCAGCTAACGGGGAGACTTAACTATCCACATCTCTGCTGGGACCACACACAGCCAGATAAAAGAGGGGATCCTAAAATACAGAGAACACATTTCTACGTCCCAGAAAGAGGGAGCTCCAGCCAGAGGGGACACCGCCTGGATCCAGTTCTCACTGACACGGACAATGCGAGTGTCCTACAGAAGCAGAGACCGGTGAGCGTGAGCTAGAGGGGTTTCAGCCCAGTAAGGGATGGGAGGTGTCAATGAACGCAGCAATGCAGAGGTAACAGATGTCAGGAAATCTAGTGAGTCAGGTGCAGTGCGAGAGAGTATTAAAATTCCCCAGCATGTGGAACATGGCTGGGAAATTACAGAATATAATTCAGGAGCAAGAGACTCTTATTTTCTCTGCAAAAGGAGAATGTGAGAAACAAGAATCGGGCCATGTGGCCTCAGGAGGGACTGGCTCAAAGCTCCAAGGAGCCTGCAGGGTAGAGAGACTGTGGCTGCTGCAGACAGAGAGGGGGAAGCGACATTCTCCGAGTCCCCAGAAATCTCAGCACATTGTGACATAAACACCGAAGTGCCCATTTGTGCTGGGGAAGGGAGTGTGAGGGGAGAACGTAAGGACTGGGGAACAGTGTCTGCAGGCTCAGTGGGTAGGGAAGGGCACCCGTGGGGGGAAGTGAGTGATGGAGAGAGGACAAGAGATAAGAATGTGAAAAAAATATGTAAAAGAAAGTGAAAGTGGACTAAAGAAAATGGAGGGTGGGTTTCAAAGCAATGGGGCCTGGGCAGAGATTCTGTGTTAAGGGGCTGGGATCCCCCAAATCTCCCCTCCCCTGTGTAGCCCATGGAGCCCTCACCGTCATCTGGCAGAGGACTCACCAAACTGTGACTCTCCTCAGGGGACAAAGGGTGTCAGCAACACACTGTTGTCATTATCCGTACTAAAAATTGTCATGTCAAGTATCCTATGCAAACAGGTAACATGCCCGTCATTAATAGTACCGTGTGCTACACATCCTGGTCATATGTAAAGAATTATAGGCATGTGCTGAAAAGGTTTTTAAAATGTTTTTTATAAGCAGTGCATAAACTCAGCCTGCCCCAGACAAAGGGATGCTGTTTTCCTGTGTCCCCAATGGAAATGGAACCAGGTAGTTCCTGGGAGGACAAAGAAAAGCCATCTCCATATAACAAACCAAACCCTCAAGCTAAACCAAGTGCGGAGTGGGGTGGGAGGAGAGCCCATTTAGCACTCATGACGGGGAATGCAGCCTGCACACCAAGGAAGCCTTCCTGGCTCTTGGCACAGAGACAACAGTCGCTGGGTCACACAGCCAAAGGCAGCCATTCTGACACCCATCACCTAGGGGACTACGGGGGAGAAGCACCCTTTGAGCTCATACAAAGTGGATCTTTTTGGCCTGAAAACCCGGGATAGCTGGAACTGACTACAGCTGATCAGTGACTTCAGCCCTCATATAGGTTGCGCCGATCACAACAAGTCTTCCATTCTTCTCTTATCCCGGCCTTCCTTCTCCAGGTGTGGCCATGCCTTTGCAGGATAAAATCTTCCCATCTCTTTGGAGGTCAGCTGAGTGGTCGTTTCAGTTCCCGTGGGTACCATTCAGCGACAGCTGCAGTCCATCGATTGTCAGTGAGCCTTGCTATATGCCCACCCCATCACATTTTACTGTACCTGCTTTCAACAACATCCTACACTCCACTCTACTGTCTCATCACGTCATTGGGAACTTGGTCGCTGATTGAAATCCCCAGAATTCTTCTTTCCATCACCCTCTCCGTGACAGACAAGCTGTTGCTCCTCTATCTTCCTAAGCACCCATGTTTCGTTGCCGTATAACATTGCCGGCAGTACTGTTGACTTGAAGAGGTTGGCGTGTGATGACTTGTTGATTTTTCCTTGGAGGGCATCCTTGATAGAACTGAATGCGCGCCAACAGGCTTGCTTTCTTTGCGATAGTTCACCTTCCTGATCGTGGTGCGTGTTGATTTCTTGGCCCAAACAGACGTAATGCTCAACAACTTCTCTTTGTTCCCCCTTGACTATGACACCTCTACCCCGATATAACGCTGTCCTTGGGAACCAAAAAAATCTTACCGCGGTATAGGTGAAACCGCGTTATATCGAACTTGCTTTGATCCGCCGGAGTGCGCAGCCCCGCCCCCCCGGAGCGCTGCTTTACCGCGTTATATCCGAATTCGTGTTATATGGGGTCGCGTTATATCGGGGTAGAGGTGTATTTGGGCTTTTGGCAAGGCATCAAACCGCATAAATTTCATTTTAGAGCGGTTCATTTTCAGTCCAGCAGCTGGCCCGGGGCCCTGCCCAAGCAGGGGTCTGGGGGCCACCGGAGCAGTGGCCCCAGGGGGGACAGAGCAGCCGCTGGGTCCCCAGGGGCTCCCAGCTAAGATTTAATCAGGGGTATTTATAGTAAAGGTCACAGACAGGTTCCCAGGGTCAGTCCACATATGCTATAGTAGCCAGCTGCTCATCCAAACTTGGGCCATATACAATGCAGTGCTCTCTTCCTATTCATAGCCAGTAGTGATCAAATCTGACCCAGTGTTTCTCAACTGATGGGTCACGGCCCCCAGGGGACTCAGGAAAGGCGGTCATGGGGGCTAGGAAATACAGAAAGCTTTATTAGGACCTAAATAAAGAGAATCTCATTCCCCCAGAGCCTGCACACACTTATCCCTCAAGGTCAGGGATTCTCTGTCGGCCTCTTGAAACACACACCGCGAAGGCTTAACACCCTTCCATTGGTCTGTTCTTACTTTAGAGTAAATGTAAGAAAGTGGCAAAAATTCTTTACCTCAGATAAAGGATCCCCAATGTGAAGTGTGAGAAACACTGATCTCCACTAGCGAAGCCCCCTCCTCCTTCAGAATGAGCCCCTGTACAGCTCAGTGCTCTCTTCCCTTCACAGCCAGTCTGCACACCGTATAGCAGCCCCATTTTACATTCAGGATCAGTCTAGACAAGGGTTCCAATCCCTCACTCCCGAGACTCTGCTGCCGCCCTGTGGCGACGCCCATTAAAGCTGCAGGCTGCACCGTGTAAGGATGTTGCAGCCTCGTCTCCCCATTTCACACCACTCAGGTTCTTGTTCCTTCCCTCAAAGGGAAATGCACCCGTCAGCTCAGGATTCACTCTGACCCCCACCAGACCTCACCGCAGGAGTGACCTGGGCAGTCGCTGTCCCACCGCTTTCAGGTTTATCTCGGGCTGGAGGCAGCAAGCCCCTGCCGCTAACATGGTTCTTGGTCTGAATCCCCCCCATGAGAGACAGAAACGTACCTGTGTTGTTCTCCAGCTCCAGTCGCAGAGTCTCTGGGGAAGGAGAGGATGGGAGAGGTGAGAATTCAGGCCCTCGCATTCATGGGCATATTCCTATTGGTTACTAACGTACCTGCTTTTCATTATGAGATGGTGACCCAGAGCGCGGCTGATAACTCAGGCAGAGCCAGCCCCACAGGCTACTCGCATGGGGAAGGGAAACTCCCTGAGCTGGAGCCCAGGGTCAGCGACACACTATAGCCCCTGACTCCTCCCCAGGGCGAGGGGCCCTCTAACCAGAAGGGACATTGCTGCCAAACTCCAATTCACCTTTGAATCCCAGCAGCACCTCCTGCAGGATAGCACTTTTCAGAGAGAAATCGCTGAGTCTCTTCTCCAGCTCCGCAAACCCCAGCTCTGGCTTCTGAAACGGCCCGTCCTCCCTGCTGAGGAAAGCAGGAAGGGTGAGACATGGGTCTGATCCCCAATCCCAGAAGCCCCCAAACTCTGGGAAACCTGCATCTGAGCTTTATCATCTGAGATGTCACCTGCCCACAGCCCTGTGCTCTCCATGGGCCCAGAGAGATGGGATGTGGGGAGCCTTTGGGGCCCTGAATGGAGACAGGTTCTGGTGCCCTCCCTGGGACACGCTGGGGTGCTGTGCCACCCTCCACTCTGGGTTATTCCAGTAACAAGGGGCACCAGCATTGGGATATGTGGAAAGGGAGGAGACAGAGACCAGAGAGTGGGCGTGTCTCATGTGCTCACAGTGGCCACAGACAGAGCCCAGGTCTTCTCCGGGGATTGAACCTGGACCATTTAATGCCAATAGCCCTGAGAACTTCAGCTAAAGCAGTGACCTCCGGGGTGTCAGCCCCATTGGTGGAGAGGCCTGTATCCCTTATCATTGTCCTTAGGCTAGGGCATAAACTGGGGACACCCAGGCACAAAGATCA